CGTAATAGTATCGATGGCGATATCAAAGATGACGGTTGCAAGGACCCGGTCTCCGCTGACTATGGGGAGGTAGGGCTGTTTCTGTCGACAGATGCGGACCTTTCGCTTGGCATCTTCGCTGCAAATTTGTTTGCAGATGGTCGGGTCTTCGACCAGAATGCGAAGTGTAAACAGGTTTAGTTCGGCATAGTGCCCGACCCGCGGGGATCGATATGCATGTTGGAGGAGATAGGAGGACAATGAAAGGAAGCTCGAGAAAGGAGATTCATCCTCGCTGCTTTCTGGTTCCAAATGAACCAAATGATAACCAAAGAGCTTATTGGCGTTTGTGAAGTCATATGTGGCCATTAGAATTGCGGCTTCTTGTGCCGGACTGCCAAAATTGTAAGTTTTGGATCAATGGATTCTCCTCGCAGAGCACTTACAGATCAGCGAACATGGCCTTCGCTTCTTCCACCGAAGGAGGATTTGCTTTGTCCCTGGCGCCAGGAGCGAGCGCTCGTAGTCCGAAGAAAATCAATGTGTTGGTCAAGCTCCAGCCCTCTGGAATGTCATCCTGGACAGCAATGTAGCCATTTCGCAGGCGATTACAGGCCAGACCGACACCCTTGGCAACTTTCTCAATACTTGACTCGTTCACAAAATCATCAAGTCGAAGTTGGTAGGGGTTTTGGAATTCAAACTTGTTGTAGTTGGCCAATAGCCCCAGAAGGAGGAATGGATCGAACACTTGCAGAGGGGTATCAGAATCAGAAACATACTATTCGTAACTGTCAATTATTTCCATAGATAGAAGCAGTATGATTGAATCAAACCTTCATAAGCGATGGGAAAAGATCCCTGTGTGTAAAATAGGAAACCAGGCTAGTTTTGTATGCTCCGCTGGTCATGGCAATGGCAGTCTTGATGGCCTTGAGCCGCACATCGACTGGAAAAATTAGGATCAACCGTCAAGATATCGGTTAAGAGCAGAACAGGCAAAGACTTACAGCTACTGCCATTGCGAATGATTCTGTCCAAAACGACCACAAAGTTGGAAATGACATGGTCCACTTCGTCGAGTCCTGCAAGAACAGTAATGACATCCGAACTTGGATTTGTGTATTTCTTGCTCAGAATGCTCGTCAAGAAAACAGTCAATGTCTGTGAAACTAGATTAGAGAATATGCCCCGAAAATTGATCACGGGGGTTCTTACATCTAGTGCATAAGAATCCGCCGGGGCGACCCCAGCTGCTGCCTCGCGAATGGCACGGGCAAAGAAACGCTGGGTTTGGATCTAATATTTGCATTAGCTGTCTGTGTTTACTTTCTAGGACAGTTTCTGCAATGACTTACCTGTAGACCGATTGTATCGTCTGGGCTCAAATGGTCTAGGATAGCATGCAGTTGGTTCCGATCTGGAGGTAGCAAAAAGAGTTCTCTCCAAAAGCCCTCTGAGGGGTCTGCATCATCTGGCACCTATCAGGGGTATGTTAGTAAATATCAGACAAAGTCATGTTTATGTCCCTACTTTGAAGAGATTCTCATAGAGCTGGACAATCTTAGGTTTGAAGGACTCGGGTCTACTCTGCTGGGTAAGGGGTGAGGCGTCCATGGTATTAAACGAGAAGATCTGCAACGGTTAGATCGCCAGCATTGGACCTCGGGAACCAAAAGAGTAAGGTTAATTTAAAGTCGAGTTGATTCAATTGCTTCGGAGTTCATGAAAAAGGGACACCAGCCACTTTGTCAGCCGATCCAGCCACATGTCCTCTACACTTGGCAATGTGTTTACAATCTGGGATAAAAAGAAGAAAAAAGGAACAGCTTTTAGTATATTTGTATATTAAACCGGCGGATTTACACAGCCCATAATTTATATTTTGCTACTATTCCCCGCCACATGCCACATGACTGCATTTGGAGGTGTGGCATCCTCATGAGGGGTGAGCCAGGTCCGAAGAACGGAACACCACGCCAGTGTGTGATGACTCAGCTTCCGAAAAACGCATTGGATGAGAACATTGGAAATCAATGCTGAGTTGTGACTTGGTCATTCCACCAAGGTAGTTAGATTAATATATAGGGCAAAGTGGAATCAGCTCTCTCCAGCAAGTCCTTTGATTAGTCTATAATTACCAAACAACCTGGGACCTTGAGGAATGGCGCCACTGCTACAATTGCCGGTGTGTAGAAATTAATCAACGCTGATTGGCTGAATCTGCGCCATGCAACTGCCTTACGTAACTAACCCCGGGCCACGGGGGAATCCTCAAAACAGTCAGAGATTCTTCTTTCTCAACTTTGTTAAGCAATCCTTCCACCATCTTTCTCACACAAGATCCTATGACCCAATAGCAATTTTAGTCGAGGTTTACTCCCATTTTCACATTGATTGCTCATCGACCATGAGTTTCTCTACCGCCATGCAACGTCCTGTGACATCATCCGCCACACTCCTCCGATGGGCAAAGCCCTCGGCAGGACGTCTACGCACTTTCTCATCATATGGAAACGCTTACCTATCCTCCAAGCGGGACATGCAAACCGCAACCGCCTACCGTCCTCATTCACTCCCATCCTCCTTCCCGCCTCCTCGAAGCAGCGGCGGAGCCGACACTTCTATCTCAGCTGAATTCCCTCCTTCCGACATGAAATCATACCAAAACACATCACAAAGCACATTGTCTAATGTGAGCCTACGGGAAGGCGAAGCGCAAAAATCGAAACCGACTTCCGCTTCTCCGGCCGCCTCCAAGACTTCGCCGAAGCCCCGTCGGCCGCTTCGGGCAAGAAAGGCAGCCATGAAATTGTCCCCGGTGGCCACCGAGCAGCTTCGGAAATTGATGGCGCAGCCGGAACCCAAGTTTATTCGAGTGGGCGTGAAGAACCGTGGCTGCTCTGGCCTCGCCTATCACCTGGAGTACGTGGAGAAGCCGGGAAAATTCGATGAGGTAGTCGAGCAGGACGGGGTGAAGGTCCTGATCGACAGCAAGGCTCTATTCAGTATTATCGGCAGTGAAATGGACTGGCAAGAGGATAAGCTGAGCAGACGATTTGTTTTCCGCAACCCCAACATCAGTATGTGGCCCCCTGCAAAAATTGCACCATTTTCTCAAGATTCGTTTTACTGACTCATGATTACAGAGGAAGAATGTGGCTGCGGCGAATCTTTCATGGTTTAAGCATTCCTTTTGATATGTTTCTTATACGGGACCTCTCGGCGTCTTTCTTCTCGGTGCATCGGACGGCGTTTTCAAAGGGGGTTTGGGGATTCCACAACTACCCTTTTATTTCAGTACATACGCTTGATATCCAGTTGATACCTTTATATACTTCGCTTATTCTTTCTGTGGGGAGATTTTTTATATTTTTATTTACTACGCCACGTGATGGCTCTGGGCTCCTATGGGCTCATAAGTTGGCAGGCCATGTCAAGAGACAGGCTAGAGGCTCAGCCAATGAACCTTTGATTCTTTTTTTGTCTGTGGAGACGTTCTTTTGAACACTTGCGAGATCAACCATGTGATATCTTTTGTGTATAGATTAGTCCGAAGGACATTGATGATGAAATGTGACATACTTACCTTAAAAAAAAAATCACAAAATTTACCTTAAACCTGCTTCCTCGATCTACTATATCATCCCTTCCTTTTAGTCTTCCAGGATTGCAGAAAAGCGGTAGCACACGTATGCCGTTGTCATACGTTGTCTAGAATGTATCACCTGACGGATGCCCGAGGCCCCGGAATGGGGTAAGCACCGCATCTCCAGCTTGAAACACACCAGCGATTGCTTGGATAGAGCGTCCTCCATTCCATATAAGAGCACAATATTACCTCCTACCTAAAACATGGCCTTGCCCTTCCTATCTCCATACGGAGTAAGCGAACCAGAGACCGACCCGCTCCTCATCATCGTCCGTTTCTCCGCCTCCATCCCCGATCTCCAACTAGATGTCCCAGGGCCCGAGACCACAACAGGCGCAGGCCTAAAACAACTAATCCGAGCCGAGCTTCCCAAACCCTTATCATCCCACCGACTGCGCCTCATCTACGCTGGCCGCGGTCTCGAAGACACAACCGCCTTAACTGTCTCACTAAAGCTCCCGCCATCACCCAGCCGGAGCCCTTGCCCCGCAGCAGACCAACCCGAGACCCCAGACGACCATGGCAAAGGCAAGCAGGCAGTGCTGGATACCCGCCCACGCCTCTACATCCACTGCTCGATCGGTGATATCGCACTCTCAGAAGCAGACCTAGCCAGCGAAGCAAGCGTGTCATCAACAGTCCTTCTACAACAGAAGAAGCAGCGAACAAACACAAGCAAGGAATCTCCAGCGAAAGATGTCTCACCTCTACTCTCCACACCTACGCAACCTGGCCGCCAATACCAATCACAGTCCCAATCCCAGATAACTACTACTACACCTGCCCCCCGCGGCTTCGACCGCCTCGTCTCCGCGGGCTTCACGGCTGCTGAGGTCACTGCACTGCGCTCCCAGTTCCTGGCTATGCAGTCTGTATCCCGGACGCCGGATACTATGCCTACTGGTGATCAGCTGCGGGATCTTGAGGACCGCTGGATGGATGAGGGGTCGACGGCGGCGCAGGTACAGGGTGGTCTTGGTGGGGAGGGTGGGGGTGGGGATGATGAGGGCGGGATTGGATCTGGATCGCGTGGGGCGATGGATGATATGCTATGGGGGGCTGTTATGGGGTTCTTTTGGCCGGTTGGCTGTGCGATGTGGTTGCGCAGAGAGGAGGGGGTTTGGAGCTGGAGGAAGGGGGTTGCGGTTTGTGTGGGTGTTATTGTTAATGCTGTTTTCGGGGCGATGAGGATTATGAACTAAGGGTGTTGAGATATATAGATTTCATTCTTTTGTTATTTGGCGTTATGAGATACCCCCCAATTGAAGATATTTGGTACTATCAGATAAAGGCTTGGGACTTATTTGGGCTGTTAACCGTCATATTAGAGACCGGGGTTGCTTGGACCAGAAAATTGGATCTAGCTGTGTCAAGTCTTGCCGGATGCTATCATACATAATGGCAAAGATGCGAGAGACAGAGAGAGAAAGACAGGCAATAGCCTTGCTAGTGTAGACGTAAGAGCAGTAAATAAAAGGACATGAAAGATAAGGCCGAGTATACAAACGCCAGCGTAAGACCCAAGCGCTAATGGAACTTGCCGTAAATGACAGCGAAAATCAAAAGAACCAGAACCGTAATGATAGCAATAGTGATCATCCGATTGGTAGCCATCCTAAACAACACATGGAAAGTCAGCAACCACGCCTAGATCAAGTTTAGAACGAGACAAAGGGGAGTCAGTACCTACGGGCCATGCCCCTCAAAGTCTTGATACTAGTATCGACATAACCCTCACTCTGTTGCAAGTTATTCCGAGCATTCGTGATCTGCTCCCTCTGCTCATACAGGGTGCCGAGGGTGCCGCGGGCAACATCCTCCGTCTCCAGCGCCATGCGCTGACTCTGCTGCAACCGTGCGGAGCTGCGCTCTAGTCGGTCCGTACCGGAAAGCAACTGCTGCCTTTGTTCGAGGTGCTCATCCTGCGGCTCGTCGGTGTACCGGTCGCCGAAGAGTGCTTGTCGGTCATCCGAGAGGGACTTGAGCTTGCGCTTGACCTCGTCGATGTCGGTTGAGTAGTTGCGGAAGCGGATGTTGACTTTTGACCGGGCTGCGGAGGGGATGTTCTGCTTCTCCATGCGCATCTGGTCGAGCTAGATAAGGGTTGATTGGGTTAGTTTTGGTTGTTCTTGCGGTTGTTGGTTGTTCTCGCATTGTGGCGCATGAAAACAGATTAAGGGGCTCGATGGACTCACCAGTTCTGTTGCTTCTTCGAGGACTTGTGTTGCGACGCCGATTGCTGATTTCCGTTGCTCGCCGCTTGCCTCGGCGATCTGGTCCAGCTTCTGGTTCAGATCGGCTTGAACCAGCTTCAACTCGTTCTCATAACTGGCGAACATCTCCGAGCCGGCATCTGTATCCAGTGGGTTTGACATGGTGATTGTATGATGTGTGTTATAGCTTGGGTGGAAGTAAAGATCCGCTGTTTGCAATGGTGGTTGATGTGTTGATGTAGGCTCCACCTTTATCTGGGGCGGGTGACGCTGTTCAATGCTGAGTGGCGGTTCGATCGGATCTTGTTAGGATAGCCTCGCTTTGTAAACTAGGTGGACTGGTCTTCTCGGAGTAATAGGGAACGCAAAGAGAAAATAGTTTAAAATAACCCAAGGTGCTGATAGGATTAACAAACGCTGGAACAGGAACGGGTGACGATGAGACACACGTGATTCATCCCGGGGTTGCATTTGCGACATCCGATGACCTCTACATCTACTCCGTACACTATTTTGGATCTATCATTTATCTTCTAGAAGTTGCAATAAGTTAGGAATAGAATTTGATACATAGCATTAGCGTAACACCAGGCCCACACAAAAAAATTCGCCTTTTCAATAAACATCCAAGATACCCCTTTGGTATACAAGATCATGGAACTTCCTCAAGCCTCATAGTCATTTATGACAGGAAATTCTTGCTGTCTTGATCAGCAATGATTGCGCTGCGCTTGGCATCCAGGAAGAGGTCCTCGCATTCAGCAATATCGGCTTCCTCGATTGCGCCGGGGCGGCCGTTGACGCGCGAGAGAATGCTTGCGGGGGCCAACAGCTGCAGGGCATACCGCAAGCTGACCTTGCTGCCATGCTCAGAGACCTTGTTCAAAGCAGGTTCTGTGATGTTGAGGCCTTCAACCTTGGCGCGCAGTCGGATGATAGTCTTGATCTCCTCGGGCACGTAGGGGTTGGTGGGGATGATAAGAAGGCGGGCAAGCAGATCAGGGGGAATACCGTGTGGTGCACTGATTTCGTGGGTACCACGGATAACGGTGTGACCGCGGTTGGAGGCGAGGATGACAATCGGGGAGATGGTCGATTCGAGGGCACGGTTCAGATACGTGAAGCACTCAATGTCAAGCATATGTACCTAGAGAAGAAATGGGGTTAGAGACGTGATCCAATAATTCGCTGGATAAAGTTCTCCACGTACCTCATCGATGAAGAGCACACCGGGAACCAACTCTGCGACACCCTGATCAATGTACCGGTTGACAACCTTGTTGATTTCCTGGCGCAATTTGTCCGTGATTTCCGTCTTCTTGGGCTTCATCAGCTGGCCCATCATGCTCATCACGTCTTGTCCGCCCTGGGGCCGGGCGTTGGCCATATCCAGATCGTGAAGGGTCACATCCTGAACAATCTCTTTCTTCTTGTGAACCTCGCCCTTGGGGACAGGCACATACTCCTCAGCCTCGAGATCGAATTCGGTCGCATAGGCATCGGATCGTCCGACTCGCTTGCATGAGCCGGTGTTAGCTTCAATGTAGATGACGTCTCCGACTGTGACACGCTCCTTCTGGATGGCTTCGTAGATGCTGGGGTCCAGTCGCAGCTTCTTGGAGCCCTTGGCGGACTTCAATCCGATGATCAAATGGCTAATTGTGCGCCCGTATCCGCCCAGTGGATTCTCAGCCTCCTCGGGGGTAAGCTCAGTCACCTCTCCCTCATAAACTTCCTTTGTTTCGCGAACACGGAGGCCTGTCATACGTTAGCTTGGCTATCCACGTTCGTTGCGCTTCCCCTAATGTCGCATTGCATACCAATAGCTCTCCGGAAGTTCTCCATCAATGCCTCGGTCTTCTTGACCTCTGCGGAATAGATTTCGCTGCCAACAATCGGGCAGAAAGGAACCTTGGTTCCCAGCTCCTGTGATACAGCAAGAGCCAAAGCGGTCTTTCCGGTACCAGGGCCACCAGCAAGCAGGACAGCTCGTCCAGCCATCTTCTTTGACTTAATCAAATCCACCACAACACCACATGCCTGCCCCATGGTTGAATCGTTAGTTATCGTTACTGCTAGCCAGATACCCTGGTGCATTCAACGTTGCTATCCACTCACCTCACGGGCAGCTCCCTGTCCCACAAATCCATCTGCATTGCTCTCTGGAGTTCCATCAGAGCGCAAGCCTAGACCCCGAATGTGTGTATGCGTTGCAGTCCTGTTCTCGCGCGAGTTACCCTTCACTTCACTGATCTGGACCATGTTTGGGAGAGGTGTGGCCGAGTAGAGCCACAAGTATTAACGGAAGATGAGTCAATGGGTCGAGAAGAAGGAAGTACAAATAAATGAAAGCTTCAAAGGAATAGCCTAGATAGAAAAGAAAGGCAACGCGATGGTTCTCTGTGAGATATGCTTCTGGCCGAAATTCGCGAGCAAGGGATCGTCGAATGAGAACGCCGCCCCCAGGGCGGTGAGCTGCCCCAAATTCTTCCTGTTGGTCCTCTCCTCCGCCTGTTGTCTATAACGACTTTCCGGCTCTTTGCATTCTCGACATTCTGCGAGAGTTCGATACCTGTCGTACACAATGGCAGGTCTACACACAAGATCTGCGATGTCCGCCCCCTTCTCTCTGGCCTCGGCCTTCCGCAGTCTTTCCATCGCCACACCGAAGCGAGCCTTCTCAACGACGCCGGCAACGCAATCGGTTCCGAAACTACCGGAAACCGCCCCGGTTTACCCCTACGGACCATCCCAATGGTACAAGCAGGCTGACTCCGGTCTCTACGGCGGCGCTTCGATCCGATTCGGTAACAAGATCTCCAAGGGACGCAACGCAGGCAAGACACGACGAAGCTGGAAGCCTAACGTGCGCCGAAAGAAGATTGAGAGCGAGGCTCTGGGCGAGTCGGTGTTTATCAAAGTTACTCGTCGCGCCTTGCGATCAATCTACAAGGCCAAGGGTCTCGACAACTACTTGCTGTCCGATCGGCCAACACGCCTCAAGGAGCTCGGTCCTTTCGGATGGAACCTTCGACACCAGATTATGCAGACCCCGACCATTAAGGAGAAATTCGCAAAGCAACGCAAGGCCTTTGGTATTCCTGAGCCCCCGTCATTGGGCAAATGGATGCGGGACCACAGGCTGGAAATCAGAAACAAAATCGAAAACCTGGACATTGACGCAATGACCAAGCCTCGCGCATCTCCGCGAAGCACCCAGTCGTATGCTCGTTAGAGCAGCTTGTACGACCTTGCGTGCCGAGGGGAATGAACAGGCGCTTGTATCACTATCCTGAAGAGCGATGGACGGTTTTTTGGACACCACGGATTTTGTGCCATCTTTGTACGCTATCTTGTTTTTCGTGGCGGAAATGATGGCCACAACTTTCTAATTTGGGTGCGGTCTCTTTTTCAATTTGCATATTGGGTCTTCTGTATTATACTCCAATCTTACTTCGTGTTCACTTCAATGTTGTCAAGACGTTTCACTTAATTCTATTTCTACGTCAAACCGATAACAAGTTTGTAGAAAGGAAATGGCGCCCTCTACCGAAATCAGAATTCCGCTGAACCAAAGAGGAGAGGATACATGAGTGTCTCGTCAACCTCATAAGCACTGCTAATCCCGTCCTCGAGTGGAGAAAAAGTCTGGGCACCCACACCAGCCATCGATCCAGGATGAATTTGTTCATGGAAAAGCGGACACTCCTCGGAGCACATGTGACCACCTAAACTCCCAAGCATAGTTTGGTCATGCGATGCCGGCAGTGGGTGGTGGAATTCCTCATCTAGACTCCGAGGGAAATCCTCCGTGGTCATCTCCCATATCATGCGCAAGACACCCCGATGCATGATGATCGACGTAAGCAGAGGCATCTGGGATTGGATATAGGAAGCAGACTCCGCCGAAATGCGCCTCGGTGGCGGGTCTTCCTCTGCCGTCCCGTATATTGGAACTTCCTTGGCTAGAACATCGAAGACATCGCGCAAAGGTTCAGCCTGAACCCATCGCTCAGCAAGAATTGCCAGTGCAGTTGAGCAGGCGCGTAATGCGTCTGGGATTTCTCGTGATCGGTAGGCCGTGGTTTGACGTTGAGGTGGAGTCGCCCAGAAGCAGTATAGAAGGGTGATACCCACGGCGACTTGACTCAAGAGCTAATTACCGGACTGAGTCAGCCGATGAGAAAGAATACGGGTTTTCGAGTACATACCCCAGGCCATAGTTGTGCTGTCTGTCGGTCTTTCTGGAAAGTCCTAAATGTCATAGCAATGTGAACACAGGCTGGGACTGATCGGTCCCCAAAGCCATTACAGACGTTTGCTTTGGTTGGCTGGTGTAATAGGAGGATCGTGTAATTGTAAGCCATGCCAACCCATCGATCGCTCGTGTAGCTTTTGGAGGCAACATCGCTCAATAGCCGTAATTGAGACCTCCAAGAGTCCAATTCGCCCAACATGTGTTCTCGCCATGTCGTTGAGGCATCGATTTCTTTGAAATCAGACCGCATCATGGTGCTGATGATCCGGGATTGTATACGTCTGCACCGGAATAGGTGAAGGGCTGGTGAGACATGTGTTTTCTGCGATGGTGTTTCTATTCGGATGCGGCTGTCCTCTGATCCTTCGTGGTGAAGGTCCGCGTCTCCCACGTTTGAAAAAAGCTACCCTTGTCAGTATCTTCGATGTCCTCTCCAGATACAGATCCTACGGTAGGGGTATTGAGAAATGACCTACCTCCACACTAATGTGTTCATCAATGATATTGTTCGGAATGTGATAGATCCAACTGATAAATCGATCCAAAGCATAAGCAGACCAAAACACTCGACGGCGCGTTTGGACCTCCAAGGAAAACGCAGGATTTGGCACCTGCGGCTCGCTCTCAGCTAAGTGAAGTTGGGCCATGACACAATATCTCATCATTGCAGAGACAATGGTGACAATCATCTGTGATGATGGAGAATGGAGTGCATGCAGAGTCAAAAGGAGATATGCCTGGGCATGTAAAACAGGATCAGGTTGCGCGAAAACGTGGGTAAGATATTGCATAGCAGTGTTGTACAAAGACTAAGTTGTTAGCCTTCCCTTGATCGTAGATATAGTATTTGACATGCACTTACTTGAGAAATAGCAATGTCATCGACCGAGACCCGAGGTGTTAGAAGTAGGGCAACAGCATGCACCTAAAATGTATCGAAGGTTACTATGAATTCGAAACACCCAGTATTTTGTCCATACCATGGTTACAAAATAGTCCTTCCATAGAGACTCCTGATGTCTTGCCCTATCCATCTGTGAATGGGCTTTCCACGATCCATACCAACTGAGAAAAGTAGCTAGATGAAGAAAAGGATATCGTGGGTTAACTCTTTCCAAATATACTTGAACCAAACGGTCAGATGCCTCATTTGAAAGCCGCGGGACACGATTTGCTTGTAATACCTGATCCGTGAATTGTGAAAAGGTGTGGGCATTTGGGCTTTCAGACTGTGTTCGGGGGAATCCAGAGAAATCGGTACACGTGAGAGTAGCTAGTATGCCAATCAACAGACCGGAATGTCCACATTGGCCATGAGGGTCTGGCAAACCCTCCGCTGCATGGGGGGAGGGGGAGGTTAATGATGGGCAGAAGGCCAGATATTTCATAGGAATAGAATCTGACGAGGGGCTATCCTGAGGCATATGGCGAGAGTATGGTGGCCTTGACGCAAGAGAAGCGTGAGAAACATGGTCTGTTTCATTTCCTCTTCGAGGCGCAGATTCCTGTGTAGATATTCTCCGACTGGAAGAGAGACTTGCTGGCCTCTCATCTGGAATTTGAGACTCGAGGTCTATAATTCTTTCTTCGAGTGCTCGCGTGTACCTATAAAAGCAGTTAGCAGGGTACTTGTGGGATGGTTGACTCGACCTACTCGGTACTAACACGAGCCTTTCGGCTCACCGGCTCACTTAAGATGCATTCTATATGCAATCAGACAAGTTTGATCCGTGTTGGTGCCATTATACATTTACCCTTATTCGCTGCTGTGCAATTATCACATGGTCTGCTTCCGGTACACTGGCTTTGATTGGTTTTTCTGCGATTCAAGGCTGTAATCGAGTACACTCACCTTTTGCTTCCGTGATCGACACCGTCGACAAGCTAGCGGCTTCTGCCTCTTTCTAGATGGCACCACTTTGTTTATTTCCATTGGGACTCGGCATTTGGTGGCTCACTGAGTATATCGGACTAAGATGTCCGATGACGGTTCCGTTTTGACTCCATCTATCCACGTGACTAAAGATTTACCAGAAGGACGAAGACTGAAAGACTTTGTTATTTTATCTTTGGCCTCATTTGAGTGTGTTTATAGAGATATCTGACCAATTAGATTCAGGGCTAAGTTCAAACTATTGGTGAAATTGCCATGCAAGCTCATCGGCATACTAAGCTCCGTCGGATACTACAGCCTCCGAAAAGAGTCCGAATTGAGTAGTTTAAATGCCCAGAGAGGCGACAACTTATTTTGACTCCTTTTAATTTTCCCTCTCGAAATATTTCACTAGTGTAAAGAAGACTACATTATAATGCCTCAGAAAATCACCGTTGCTGTGGCGCAAGCCCGCACTTTGTCTACACTTGATTTGACCCTCGCCGCTCTCAAGAAAACCACCCAGCATGCAGCTTCAAAGGGTGTCCATCTCCTGCTCTTCCCAGAGGCTTATCTAGGCGGGTATCCTCGTACTTGTGACTTTGGAACTGCTGTTGGTGCGCGTGCCCCCTATGGCCGGGACCAATTTGTTGAATACTTCCGTGCTGCCGTTGACCTGGGCGATACGCCTGCTGGAGCGGGACATGACTGGGTGGAGCGCAAGCTGCCTGTGGCTCAAGGTCGAGACCACCGTGGTGATGGGACAAGAGAGTTCCTCGAGCGGGTGTCCCGCGAGACAGGTGTCTTTATTGCAACTGGGTTGATTGAAAAGGCCGGGGGAAGCATGTACTGCTCCGCGCTATATGTCGATCCATTGCGGGGTGTTCTGGGAAAAAGAAGAAAGGTCATGCCAGTAAGTACATTGTCATTGTTTTTCGCTGTGAACTGTAGTCGATTTGACTTGTCGTTGAATGCAACACATTTATAAACTAATGCTGACCTGACCCTGTTGAAAAAGACTGGCTCAGAACGTCTTGTATGGGCCCAGGGTTCTCCTTCTACTTTGAAAGCTATCACTACGGAGCTCAATGGGGTCAAGCTTACTATTGCCGCCGCTATCTGCTGGGAAAGCTTCATGCCTTTGCTTCGTCAAAGTCTTTACTCGCAAAATGTGAACATCTACCTCGCACCCACAGCTGACGGCCGTGACACTTGGCTGCCTCTCATGCAGACTATTGGTGGTGAAGGCCGCACTTTTGTGCTGTCTTGCAATCAGTGCGTGCGCTACAATGAGCTACCATCCTGGATCACTGAGCAGGGTAAAGCTACTGAAGGTACGTGGTGTATTCTTCACTGAAGTGTTCAAATAACTCATGGTCTCTTAGAATCTCCAGACCGCTATATCTCGCGAGGTGGCTCCTGCATCGTCGGACCCTTGGGTGAAGTCGTGGCTGAACCCATTTGGGAAGTCTCCACTGACGATTCAGGTGATGGCTCCAGCATCGAAAATGGACTTGTGATTTCCGAGATCGACTTAGAGGATTGTGAACGAGGTCGACTTGATATGGATGTTGCGGGAAGTTATTCAAGAGATGAATTCCGGTTGACAGTTGACGGGTTGGACTTGAACCCTCCTCCGTTCTAGGAAGCAGGGAAAAAGCAATGTTGTTTTAATCTCTCATAACTCTGAGAAATCATTTGGGTTTATATAGAAGAGCTAACAATGTATATAAGGGATGTCTCTATGATACTTACTAGGGTCGATCTATAAAATATATTAGGCAACTTTTTCTTTTTCTTTTTCTTTTTCTTTTTTCCTTTCGTAGATCTTGTTCAATAAATACGGTACTATTCAACTAATCAACAAGTAATACACATATTATCCCTGATTATCTTTAATATGCTAAATATAAAATCCCACTGGATGCGGGATCTCTGATGGAAGTTTGTTGGAATGCGGCCAGAAGGTGGGCCGCATTCGGACGCCACATCTCGGGATCTTCGCACCCGCGTCGATCTTCAAGTCTCTTTCTTCAAGTCTCGACTTTCGACATTGCCCCCTCTCTTATTATGATTTGATTTAAATCGAGATACTGTCCCTGTTTGTATAATTTCACAATAGGGACGAGGACACGCCTTCATGCAGTTCGCGTTACCTCCGCGGCGGAGCCCGCATCCTCTACCTCTGTCCCGTTCCTCTCGAATGTCATCCTATCGCAGGAAACAATTAAAGTCGGCCGGTGTCCTGGCACTCGCAATATTATCCCTTATTTATCTTCTCCACTACCTCTATTCCTCAGCCTCTGCGTCCGTTGTTGCTCCGGTGGGTACTTCTGGTGTGGTAATCGTCACACTACTAGACCGTCAACGGTACAGCGAGAGCTATCTCAAAAAGATCGTTGCAAACCGGGAGTATTATGCCAAGCGTCATGGTGAGAAATCCTTCTATGAAATATTGTGGAAGAGCTTCGTTTCCAATGAACTCAATCTAACTCTCACGCGGGAACAGGCTACATCAACTTCTTCGCAAGTGCATCAGATTACGACGAAGCCGTTGGCGATGCCCCAATGAGCTGGGCAGTTGCACCAGCCATGCGACATGCCATGGCTACACATCCTCGCTCGGCATATTTCTTCCATCTCGCGACTAATGCTTTGATCATGAACCCAACCAAATCCCTCAAATCTCACATTCTGGAGAAGGGCCGTCTAGAGGACTTAATGATGAATGATGTGCCCATCGTGCCGCCAGATAGTATTATCAAGACGTTCGCACACCAGAAGGAAAAGGATGTGGACATTATCATCACCCAGGACAGCGAAGATTTGAACCCCGGAAGCTTCATTTTGAAGAATGGAGAGTATGCCCGTTTCTTCCTAGACACTTGGTTTGACCCGCTTTACCGCAACTATAAATTCGCTAAGGCGGAGACACATGGACTGGTAAGACAAATCTTTTATTCCATTACTTTATCTTTATATAGATAGAGCCCGAAGAGCCTTGATCCTGACCTAAATTCTGCTAGGATCACATCATGCAGTGGCACCCAACTGTCCTTGCCCGAACCGCGTTGGTCCCTCAGCGAGTTATGAGTTCCTATAGCCATGGCTCTCCGGGTGCTTCTTTGGATGGTACCTACAAGGATGGTGACCTCGTGATCCAATTTCATGGGTGCGAAGATACAGAGGACCGGGACTGTGCTCACGAACTAGAGCCATATTATAAGATATGGGAGAAGAAGACACACAGCGATTAGATAGCCTGAAGCCCAAGAACGAGGTTCTTGAAGTGGCGCTTGCATTTAGGAGTCCGCTTTTTCCACGTGGGGGAAATGGCGTTTTGCTTGGAATCTTTCTCTTGTTCACGAGTACAATGTTTTAGGGTTGGTTGGCGTTTGTTCGTGGAGACCTCAACATATGGCGTATTTTTGCTTTCAATTGGCATGCATAGCTGCAAAAGGAACACGATAATCATTCATTTTTACTATGTCCAATACTAAAATAATACATCGCCTCATGATATCAGTAGTTAGCGCGTACCGTATATCACGACAACTAGGGTTGCTCGATAAGCTGCTTGGGACTTCCTTTAAGCCGTCAATAAAGGTAATTTCAGTCTTGCTATAGTTTTCTTCCTCTTCTCCACCCACTCAATCACCCTGCCCATTGCCATAGCACATAGGGTAGCCAAATACCAAGCCTGGACTTGACCATTCCGCCAACTTCTTAGGCAAGGCCAGGGAAGATGACAGCGCGCTTCTTCTTGTACTTGTCACCAAACTCCTTGCGATAGCGCTTCTCCTTCTTCCAACCCCAGCTCCACATCTGCAACCCACCAACAACAACGAAGAACAGTACACTCCAGTTCAACTGACTGACAAGGAAAATACCCAACCAAGCCAGGATCTCAAAGAAGTAGTTGGGGCAGGTAACGACGCTGAAACCGAATCCAGACGGAATGCCGCGCTCAGTAGTACCAGGCCGACGAAGATTACGCAGGATGTAGTGCGCATTCAGATTCGCCAGCTCACCGAAGACAAACAGCGCCAATCCGGCGTAAACGAGAGCCTGGTTGGGGGTACTGGTGGCGGCAGTCGCGTCCGGGCGGAACACCCAGTAGGCGATGTTGAAACCGGCCAGAACCCAGTAGTGGGCGCTGTTCTTGACGATGTTGCGGGCGGGCATGGTGGCGCTGCTGAAACGGTGCACGAAGATTGTCTCGAACTCGCGCTTCAGGAAGTGCACAGTGAGGAGCGCGCAGACTAGGAGCTGGAGATCGGAGGGCAAAGGGAGGGGCTTGTCGAAGGTGAAGTACAGGAGGGGTCGGAGTGGGAAGAGGAATAGCGCGGGGATCAGGAGGGGGCCGAGGTACTCGATGATGAAGACGGTGCGCCAGGCGATTTGCGGTCCTAGAACTATATGTTAGTTTTGTTGATTCGTTTGGACGAGTGTGCTGATCTTAGGGGTTGAATTCGCATTGTCCATGATATGGGGTATAGGCACGCACCGAGATCCTTGACGTAGATTACGCTTGAGTTTCGCATGCCAGTGTCCTCAATGGTCGTGTTGATCGAGTTCGGGACCACGCCGTGATCGCTACCCTTGGTGATTCTCATCCGGTGGACTGAGCAGCCGGATGCTGCGGAGAGCGCAGTGTGCAATTCTTCACTGGAGGCATTGAGAGGAATCTCAATTTCCTTGGGGAGCTTCTGGATGGGCTTGCCTGCATTTAGATTAGCGATGCTTTCAGGCTACTCTCTTTGTGGTCTTGCTGAGAGCTTTGGGTAAACAAGAGCTATGGATGCATACCCCTTGGCTGAACGACGAGCGTAATTTTACCAGCCGCCATGATGATGACTTGGCTCGCGCAGATATAA